GATCTAATGGTTAGAAGCTCATTGTGTTTTTAAACGCATTTAACGGCTCAAATCGAGCCACATCACAACAAGGGTCAAACCAATCAATAGGCTGGTCAAATAGGCCCAACTCTTTGTCAAATGGATCCAGAAACAAGTCTAATGGGTTTGGAAATTCACAACCTAATCGAGGGCAATTCTATTGTGACTATTGCAAGAGAAGAAACCATGATCGGGACCATTGCTGGAAATTACATGGCCATCTTGATTCCAACAACAAGGACAAAAATGGTAATTCTTCTTCTTTCCAGGTTGACTCTCTTCCTTTTGGAAATCAATAAGCACTTGCCCTCAATCCGGATCCATGCAATCAATTGCTCTAGCTTCTGAATAATGCTTCCACTGCACCCACAACATCTTATGTAGGTATTTCTTACTGCTTCAATTTAATTACTACTGAAATGTGGATTATTGATTCAAGGGCTAGTGATCACATCATTTGTCACCCTAAATTTTTCAACACTATTTCCACTACCTCATCCACCTCCATTCGCATGCCGAATGGGAACATAACATCGGCCACTCACATAGGGACCGTCCAATTATTTGAAAATTTATTCCGTAAAAATGTACTATGTGTCCCTGCTTTTCCTTGTAACCTCATCTCAGTCTCCAAACTTTGTGAAGACAATAGTTGCATTTTCAAATTTTGTCCTAACACATGTGAATTCCAGGACCCTTTGACTGGTAAATTGGTGGGCTTAGGTAAGGTCCATAGAGGTCTATACTACTGGGCACCCGCTAAGTCTTCTAGAATTTTTCATCCTTGTATTACAACCAATAAAATTACCAATTGTAATGCAATGATTAATAAAATCTCTTTTATTCTTCATCAAAGATTAGGTCACAGTGCAACTATTCCTCAACCTCATTGTCCCATATGTCCATTAGCTTAGCAGGCCCGCATTACTTTTCCACATAGCACTTCCACTACAACCCAACCTTTTGCTTTGATCCATCTTGATATTTGGAACCATGATGGATCCAGATTTTTCCTCACCATTATCAATGACTTTTCCCGAGATACATGGACATTCTTCATGCAAGCCAAAACCTAAACACTTACCCATATCGCACATTTCTTGGCCATGGTCACCGCACAATTTTGTACTTCCGTCCAAAGGGTTGGAACCGACAATGCAAGAGATTTTTTAAATCATAATTGTTCATCTCTTTTTTCATCACTTGGCATCCTGCATGAAAGCTCTTGCATGTATATTCCATAAAAATATGGGGTTGTCGAAAGAAAACAGGTCATCTCCTAGAAGTAGCCTATGCCCTCAAACACCAAGCCCACCTACCCATCTCTTTTTGGAGTGAATGTGTGATCACTGTTACCTACCTGATCAACCAAATGTCAATCAGAGTTCTTCATGGAAAGACCCCTTATGAGGTATTATTCAAGAAACAACCACCTTTAGATCATCTTCGAGTCTTTAGCTATCTTTGTTATGCAGCCACTCTTGGATCACATGATAAGTTTGGTACCCGGGCCACCCGTTGTATTTTTATGGGATAACTTATGCTTCAAAAAGGTTACAGGCTATATGATCCAGTTGCAAACAAGTTTTTGATCTCCGGAGATGTTGTGTTTCATGAAGGCATCTTTCCATTTGCCACAGAGGATACTGTTCCACTACCATCACCCAAGTTTTTCCCTGACACTGATATTCTTCAAGATCCTTTGTTCACTATGATACCTAATCCATTAGTTTCTCAGCCCAGCACTCCTACTATTGACTCTGACACATTAACCACTGATAATACTATAGTAGATTCACCTATTCAAATCCCTACTCCTATTTCTCCACCAAGATCCCCTATTCTGGCTCCAATTATTCCTACACACCATAATACTCGCCAGACTTGACCACCAATCTGGGCAATAGATTATGTGTGTCCTACCATTCCAGATCCTTTAGATACAATGTACCTTACCTCCAATTATGTGAGTTATGATCGTCCTTCTCTTATACACAGAGCTTGTATCAGTCACATCTCTGTTGAACGAGAACTCACTAGTTACTCAGATGTTATTCAACATTCTCACTAGCGTCAAGCCATGGCTGCTGAGCTTATTGCTCTATCTCATAATCATACCTGGGATCTAGTGCCCCGCCCCTCTCATAGAAAACTCATTGGCTGTAAGTGGGTCTACAAAATCAAGCATCATGCTGATGGCTCCATTAAACAGTACAAAGCTCAATTAGGGGCCAAGGGATACACTCAGCGTGAAGGTTTTGATTATCAGGACACTTTTTCACTAGTAGCCAAACATGTCACTATTCGTGCTTTTCTTACAGTGGCTTCTGTTCGTGACTGGCCTTTCCATCAAATGGATGTTCATAATGCCTTTCTTCATGGTGATCTTCATGAGGAAATTTATATGGATCTTCCTCTGGGATTTTGCAGATAGGGGGAGAACACAATATGTCGTCTGCAAAAATCTATTTATGGGCTAAAACAAGCATCCCAACAATGCAATGAGAAATTCAGTAAAGCTCTCACTGACATAGGATTTGTTCAATCCAAATATCACTAAGCATTATTTACCTGGCACAAAGGTAAAACTTTCATTGCTCTCATCATCTATATCAATAACATTCTTATTACAGGAAATGATGAAGCAAGCATTAAATCCTTAAAAGAGCATCTCAACAGACAGTTCCGAATAAAGGATCTAGCAGAGCCAAAGTATTTCCTAGGCATTAAAATTGCAAGATCCCTGGCGGAAATATCCCTTAGCCAACGGAAATATTTCTTGGAACTCATTTCTGATTCAAGGCTATTAGGATGCAAGCCAAGTATTATTCTAGTAGAACAGAATACATAGTTGACTACTTAGGTATATGATAGTGGGATATCATCCTTCGAAGATGATCCACCTCTGGAAGACCCTACTAAGTATCAAAGACTTGTTGGGCGATTGATCTATGTCGCCATGACTCATCCAGACATTAGTTATGTAGTCCACATTCTTAGCCAGTTCATGCATGGACCTAAATAATCTCGCAAGGATGCAGCGATAAAGGTTCTAAAATACTTAAAAGGGTGTCCTGGGTTGGGACTCCTTCTTCCTTGAGACAAAGAGTTGGATATCACAGATCACTGTGACTCAAACTGGGCCACATGTCCAATAACAAGAAAATCACTTACAGGTTCCTACATCAAGCTAAGGGGAGCTCTTATTTCTTGGAAGACTAAGAAACAATCAACAGTATCTCTATCTTCAGCAGAAGCCAAATATAGAGCCATGACAAAGACGACATGTGAGATCATCTGGATCTAGGGTTATTGGAAGATCTAAAGGTACAAGTAAGAAAGCCTATCATTTTATACTGTGACAACAAAGCTGCAAATGACATAGCAGTGAATCCAGTATTCCATGAGAGAACGAAACATATAGAAATTGATTGCAACTTCGTCAGAAAAAAAGTACAAGAAAGGGTAATCAAGGCTTTGCACATTCGTACTTCAGAACAACTAGCAGACATTTTCACAAAGTCATTATGCAGCCAACAACATTCATATCTACTTAGCAAGCTTGGAGTTCTTGATATCTACAAACCACAAGCTGGAGGGGGAGTGATGAATTATGGAATGCACAAATTTTTATAGCTTTTCCTTGATCTCTGCTAGCTGAGATGAAGGAATGATTTTGGCATTCAATCAATCCCTAATTTATGTGATTGATTGAATAATTACATTTATTTGTATTTATTATTTTCCTTTTCTACATTTACAAAATTTGTATAAATTAACCATTGTACATGCTTATACAATACGAAATATATAGAAATTCTTCTCTCTTCTTTCTTCTCTTTGGCATACTTTGGTAGTATCATTATCTTGAACTACTAGTCTTTGTTTCACCATCTCGATTCCTTACACAATCATTTGATTCTTCCCTTTGTTCATTTTAGCTTTATTGGTTTTTTCTTGAGTTTGGGCAATTATTTTGTTAGTGGTGAGAAAAATTAGTGTGAACACGTAACTGTGAGTTGAGGCATGCAATGGTTTCAATGAATGTGCTTGAGAGTCTTGTATTAATATCTGCCTCCACTAAGGTGCTTTGAGTATCACAAATTGCGTATGGCTTATGTAATATACTTGCTTAAAGAATTATAGGTTATAGAGGTAAATAAATATGATATTCATGGAGTAATTACTATGACTTTTTAACAGTTAAATTTTGGAGAATGACGGGAAGATTCGAAATCTTCAGATAGATTACCTAGAATTTTATTAGACACACTTGTTTTAGTTGAGTTGCACATTTCATGAGGAATGATTGTTCATTTATAAGGAATAAATATTTATTCTGTGAGGAACGTCATTCCTTCATAAGGTACGACCGTTCCCAATAAAGGAATGATCGTTTCTTTGGTCTAATTAAAATCATTTTGTGCCTTCAGTGTGATGGAGCTGATGTGACAGTATCAACTCAACTGCCATATCAGAGTTGTACAAGAAATTTATAAGAATAAGTTGTGGGCGTAGCATTACTCTAAGTTTATTTATTCATCAATCATGCAACATTATAAAATGGGGGATAAATTGGACTAATTAAAATGGATTATTTTTAACTCATCATTAAGAAGTTCGAAACAATAAGTTCGTAGAGATATGTTTGACCTAACTACTTCTGTTAATTACTATCCTTTTTAGATTATTTTTTTAATAAAAAAATAAAAAATTCCAACTTCATGTTTATTTTAAAAAAAAATATAATATAAATCACAAATATCATATTTTTTTTTTAAAAAAAAAAAAATTGCAAAGGAGGAAGAGGAGGAGAAGAAGATTAAACACAAGAACAATATTTAAATTAACCGCAAACTCTTACATAAAGCCAACAAAAAGCATGGAACAACTACTGGCCAAATGGGTCATCAAGTGACCTGAATGCCAATTTTATTTATCACTTGCTATCTACCACCACCTCATATCATAACACACTGTGTTATTCCTTTTCTCTACTGTTGGATTACTCTATTTTGATTCTCCTCTCATGGGACGGTGTACCCTGCAAAATCAAATTCAAAATTAATTATATATTGAGACACAAGGTTAAAATTGAATATATATTTTTTTCAAATCAATGGCTTTGTTACACTTAGAAGTTTAAATATCTCCAATGCAATTCTAGATAAGAAACTTATCCAGAGAAAAATTTACTGCTTAACGAACGAAAAGCAGGAATGCCTATTCTTTTTGGCAATCATTAATGCATTAGAAATTTTTCACTAATGCGTTTGGCACATTGATTTTATTCAATTGGGTATTCAAGAAAAAATGAGAAAGCTTAGTCATTGAAATGACACTTGACCAATGGCACTATGGCAATGTCCTATACAAGAAAAAAGAAAAATCACAAGATAAAAAGCATTGAGAAAACTAACATTTAAAAAATAAATATATAAAATGATTAATCAATTGGGTTTTGCCTTAATAATGCTTGTTCAACTTGCCACCATGCAAATGAAAAATGAAAACATAAAATGGGAAAACTAGCTTTGAATTACTTACTTCCACACTTCTTTCCGGCGGACCTCTTCTTAATGTTGCATCGTTTGGGGATTGTAATAGCAATGGCAGGGTTAATTCTAGCCTGCTTAGCCAAAGGCGACAACAAAACGGCACAAAGACATTTTGGTGCAGTCTTGATCAACGCACCTACTTTTGAGCAACAGAGTGGCGGAACCTTAGCCCTGGCATTTCCAGCCGCGCTCAAACACGGGCTCAAGCTAGTCGCCGCTGACCTAATTGGAGTCTTCCCACACTCTCCAGCCCCATCAACAAAACCCTTTGAACCCACCAACACCACCAAGAACAAAGCCACAACGCAAGTTTTCATGATCAGTAATGTCAATTTCTCTCTCGACTTCAAATAACTAGAACTGATCGACACTGAATTCTGAAAGCCAAAACACAGCGAGTATAAATAGTGAAATTTTGAGAGAGAAAATTATGTGGGGTGTTTTTGGGTGGCTAGTGCGGTAGTTGTGGAATGGAAACGTGGAGGAATTTTATGGTTTGAGGGTTAGTTTATTCGAGAGGTTATTATTACAATCATTTGATTGTTTTGAGGATGAGTTAGTGAGTGAAACGTTCATAAGTTGACACATAAGATTTGGTTCATTTTAGCTTTATTGGTTTTTTCTGGAGTTTCCGCAATTGTTTTGTTAGTGGTGAGAAAAATTAGTGTGAACACGTAACTGTAAGTTGAGGCATGCAATGGTTTCAATGAATGTGCTTGAGAGTCTTGTATTAATATATGCCTCCACTAAGGTGCTTTGACTTTGAGTGTCACAAATTGCGTATGGCTTATGTAATACACTTGCTTAAAGAATTATAGGTTATAGAGGAAATAAATGTGGTATTAATGGAGGAATTACTATGTCTTTTTGCAATAATATAATTTTAACATAAGTTAAATTTTGGAGAATGAGGTGAAGATTCGAAAATCTTCAAATAGATTTCCTAGAATTTTAATTAATAAATTAGTTGATTGTAAAGAGAAAATGAAAATAAGAGATAATATTGTGTTTATTGATCGAGTAAATTCATATGTTCACACTTCACTCTTTTTAGTAGACATATTTTTTTTTTATTACCGAGGATGTTTGTACCAACTTGCGTACACCTTAACTAATTATATAGAACCCCGAAACTATTAACCGAACAAAAACTCTAATAACTATCTCTATTAATAGTCAATGTGAATCAAACTTAAAATATTTTAAGTAATACATTTAAAAGTCTTAGTTGACTACTCAAATCATCTAGTGGTGGTTAGTAGAAACACTTGCTTTAGTGCGAAATTTTTTGAAATGAGTAGTTACAAACTTACAATTTGATATTGTCACTCTATGTTTATTGTGTCTTCCCTTGTCAACTCTTGAATTTTAGCCTCATCTTCAAGACTTTGGGCCTTTTTAATATGTTAAAATGCACTTATTAATGGGCCATTTAGTTCAGCCGAAATGCTAAATCAAATATGACACTTGCATTAACTCATATCCTTGCAGGTTGCAGCCCTTATCGTTAGACAAGGAATAACAAAATGTTGGATTTTAGTTACAACTTAATCATCAAGGGTTTCAATTTAAGTAACAATCTGAAACTTATTTTGATACTTTTTTTTTTCTTTTTTTTTTTTAAATTTAAACTATAATTTAGATTTTACAAGATTTTTTTATGATGATCATGTTTAAAGACCTAAACATAAATGAAAATTGGAGATTAATTTAAAGGATATAAATTTGAGAATTCTTTTTATTAAGCGTTATAGATCGAGTAAAAGGTTTATATGAAAAACAAGCTTAAAAGTTGTTTTGTTAACAATATATATACGTCAAATGGTAATAGTTTCTTTAACTAATTTTTGGTTCTAAAAAACATTTTTGTTAACAATTAAAGACATATGCAAACATGAAGCTCAATAAGGCAAATGAATTACTTTAAGAGTCGGAAACTCATCGATTACATGAAATTAATACCAAAATATTTTATCCGAACAATGTTAATAAAAAATAAATTAAAATCTAGCAAATTGTGTTCTTGTTAGTTTTCCTTTCCAAGACGAATTTCTTCCAATAATCAGTGACTTCCCTCTGAGTTTCCATCACAGTCTTCTTCACCACAGTCCCATTCTTTCCATTTTTCTGTTCACAAGTCACAGACAATTTTGCAGGAAGACTATCGAGCTCGTGCAGTACCTTTGTGATGTCGAGCACGAGACGCTCCGCGAGGGTACGGGAGAAGTCTTCTCTAACCACAACTCGAAGCACGGTAACGTGTTGAGCGTCTGCCGGCATGGTGTATGCCGGCACAATCCATCCGAAACGACGCAGCATTTCGGCTACCTCAAATTCGTTATGGCGTTTGGTGTCCTTGAGAGAAAAGGCCACCAGAGGAACTCCATCGTCCTTTGAAACGATGTTGAAGCAGCCTGTTTTCTCCAATCCTTCCTTGAGTACCATCGCGTTTTCGTGACAATTCTCCATCACATTGCGGTATCCCTCCCAGCCTAATCGAATTAGTTGATAGTATTGAGCAATGACTTGACTGGAACCTACAAGAAATAATCAAATTTCATATATAAGTTTATGTTATGAGAGGTTGAAATCAGGTGTAAAACTGGAAACAAATAGTGGGGCTCCGAGCGTCCTATTCGACGCGTTAATCGAACAATATCTTGAAAGTGAGCCCGAAATATCACATGGTGTGTATAATAAGAAATCTGGAAGTAATTAGTTTGGTTACCTTTGGAGAAATTGAGAGTGAAAGTGGGTTGATCAGCTCCAAGATAGTTAATGTGGAAGATGAGTTCATCAGGCAAGTCCTCTTTGCTCCTCCAGATAACCCACCCAATTCCGGCGTACACAAGCCCGTATTTGTGGCCACTGACGTTAATGCTCTTCACCAGTGGAAGCCTGAAATCCCATTCAAGCTCTGGGTACAAAAATGGAGCAATAAATCCACCACTGGCAGCATCAACATGAATTGGAGTATCCCATCTGTAAAATCAGCAAGAATATAGTTAATTATCAATTTAGAATTAACTTGTTCAAAAATTTAAGAGAGTCAATATATATGGTTGAATATGACATATACCCAGTTTGCTTGTTCTTTTCGAGCAAAAGATCGTTCAATAGTTTGACATCTTCAAATTCTCCATTGAGAGTAGAACCGAGGATAGCAGCAACACAAATAGTGTTTTCATCCACCATTTCTACAGCTTTGACTGGGTCCATCACATAGTAACCTTCCCTCAGTTTAACTTCCTTCAGCTCCACTTCAAAATACCTTGCAAATTTCTCCCAGCATACCTACACATAATATTAAAATTGCATGTCGATCAGATTCATGATCATCACCCTGAACAAACATCTATCACAAAGTTAATTTACTAATGGTATAATTTGTATGATACCTGGACATTGGCTCCAGTGACGATGTTGGGTTTGTCATAAGGTTTGCCCTCGGCCTTGCGCTTGTTTTGCCACTTTCTTTTGAATGCAAGGCCTGCCAGCATAATTGCCTCCGATGACCCTACTGTTCCGACTCCAACGGCTGCCTCTGACTCCTCCAGTGGAGCGTTGAATAGCCTTGCTATCATGTTCACGCATCGGTTCTGAATCAAACACAATCACCAATATTAATTGTTACAGTTTTCTACTAGTGTGGAGCATGAGACCCGGTCAATCATTGATGATGGGTCGAACTATAATCAGCAAGCAATTATCCATCATTGGTTTGAGAATTTTACAAAATCATTGTAGTAAAATTTTAAAGTATTTAGAGAAGAGAATATACCTGAAGCTCGGTGGTAACAGGGTACTCATCCATGTCAACATAGTTCTTGTTGATGGCAGCCATCATAAGCTTATCACACTCAGGCTCCATCCACGTCGTCACAAATGAAGCCAAGTTCAACCTCGGATTCCCATCAAGCATCAGCTCATCGTTTATGATCTGGTACGCCGCCTCCTTCGGTATCGAGTTATCCGGCATCTGAAACCTGCACCACCACCATCATCAACCACATAACATAAATATTTTACCTTCAAAACCACTCCAAAAAAAAAATAATAATAAAACAAAACAAAACAAAATAAACTTCTTAAAATTCACCTAGGAAGTGAGTTTCGAACGTAGCGAGAGGCGAAGGTAGAATGGATTGAAACATCAGACTCAGAAGCCGTCTTGGATAGCACCATTTTGAAAGTAAAGAAATTGAAAAGATGGAGAGATTGAGCTCTTTGTTATTGCTATTGGTTACACTGTGAGTTGCTTGGAGAAGAGAGTTTCGTATTTATAGCTTTTAGATGTTACCAATACGCAACGTGGGAACGACGAAGCAACATGAACTTATTCTTTGCATATCTTTTTTTTTTTTTTCTGATTGATCTAGAAAACTCAAATTGACTGTGTTTTTTTTATTATTATTTTTCATAGAACGACGCCAAATGGGTTTAGCGTTTTGGCTGACAGGAGATGTGATGTCAGGTTGTATCTGTNACCATTTTGAAAGTAAAGAAATTGAAAAGATGGAGAGATTGAGCTCTTTGTTATTGCTATTGGTTACACTGTGAGTTGCTTGGAGAAGAGAGTTTCGTATTTATAGCTTTTAGATGTTACCAATACGCAACGTGGGAACGACGAAGCAACATGAACTTATTCTTTGCATATCTTTTTTTTTTTTTTCTGATTGATCTAGAAAACTCAAATTGACTGTGTTTTTTTTATTATTATTTTTCATAGAACGACGCCAAGAAAACTCAAATTGACTGTGTTTTTTTTATTATTATTTTTCATAGAACGACGCCAAATGGGTTTAGCGTTTTGGCTTACGGGAAGATGTGATGTCAGGTTGTATCTGTATGGCAAATGTCAGGTAAACATCACTGACCGTTGAATTGAATCAATCAACTTCAACGGAAAAGATCAACCGTTGAAGTTCTCCAGTTTTGTGCCGCGTATAGTTTTCTTTACTTGGGTGGTCTTTCGATGACCCACTGAAATGCAATAGCAGAGAAATTTCTTGGTCAAAAAGTTTTTTGGTAAGTCAAGAATTTGATTCCTGTTTTCAGCTTCATTTTACATCTTTACCCCTCTAGGATTAGGATTATTATTATTCAAATCCTACAATTTAAGTTACTGAGATAAACCCTCTAATTCTAGCATATGTTAAATTATGTAAGGGCAGAACCTTATCAGTAAATTTAGGTTAATGTTAGCTTAGGGACATCATTGTCTCTACATAAAAAAAAAAAAAAATATATATTATTTCAGAGTCAAGGTTTTACTAATGGTTGTTAGTTTGAGGAGATATTTCCCTTATTATTATTAGATTGCTTTAATTAATTATGTTGAGACTGCTTTCATACTTGTTATTATTAGACAATTTAAAGGCAGATTCTATAAAATCTGATTCTTATCAATGCATGATCTTCTTACCTGATTTGTAATTAATATGGAAGAATTACTAAAAATGAATAAATAATAATAAAACTTTAATATTTTGAGACCTATGCTATGCATCATAAATTCCTTATAAACTTAAAATAAAAATTTAAATAAGAATGGATCATAATTCATCTATGTTAAAATTAGTTTAATTAAGCGAATTTTATGCATCTTATGCTAATTTTTATTTGAGTAAAATGATTGTAACAGTTTTTTCTTCAAAAATTTAAAATTTCTTACATGAGATTTTATCGCCGACAAAATATGAAACCAACAACACCATAATTATAACCTAAGACTTACCAAACTTCATTAGAAGTCAATAAATTATTAATATTTTAATTATTGAATTTCCATCACTTAATTAGTGTTTAATGTTTATTCTTCTTAAAAATATGTTGGCCATCCTAGCAAACACGTTTTTTAATGGCTTGTTTCATCGAATACGTCTAAAAGGAAAAAAGCATTAATTCTTAACAACTCTTTAAAAAATTGAACTTGAGAAAGAACAAATAAAAAGAATAAAATAAAGTGTTAACTAAACACCCTTCAAGTTTATGAAATAATACTAATCCCTCTTTAGTGAGCCATCAAAATTTATACTTTTATGAGTTATTGAATATTATCAAATTATTCTCTTATCGTTTATTTTAAAACCTAAAACATAATAAAAAGGAGGATTTTTGTTATTTTTAAAATTTTTAAAGTCTTTTGATATTTTGTCATTCTCTATATGTTTCCTTAACTTTAAAAATAAATAACAAGGTATTTAAAACTTTTTTTTTTTGGTATCCTAGGGTATCTACGTCAGTTTACAAGCACATCAATTAATCATATTAGACCTTAAAGTTAAGAGTCAGTTAAGCTTTTAATGACTATTCCTTATTAGTAATCGTAAGGATTTTAACTTAAGATCTCTTGAATAATACACCCAAGAGTCTCTAAAGAACCATTAAACTACGTAGTGGTAGTTGGTATTCGAAACTCAAAGTCATATAAACGGAAACTCTTACCTATTCCGTGACCACATAATGGGTTAAAATGGTCAACTTTAATGCACTTATTTTTGAAAATCGACGGCATTTCACCTAACCTTTGTTTTTTCTAGTATTTAACCAATTAAGTTAGTTGGTGATCAGGGAAACATAAAACTTGCAAGTTAAACATTGACGTTGGCCAGCAGACACCTTTGAAATTCAAACCATTAGAAAATTATTATAATTAATGTCAATAGAATAAAATTTTGTAGTCCAAGATCATTGGAAGGACACAAACTGGACCTCGTTTCTAAGTTTACAATTAAAATGCTTCAAACTTCCTTTAAGGTTTAGTTGAAATTGTGTGCTATATTCATCTTTAAAACTTATGAAAAGGTTATAGTTATTATAAAAATTATTGATACTGTTTATGAAGCTTTAAAAGATTTATAAAAAAAATAATAAATAAAAAAAGATTAAGGAAGAATTAAATCATTGAATATAAATTAATCGTTCCATCAAGGGAACACAATTCCAGCATCTCATTCTTTACTGTATTCTCAAGGCATCAAGAGATAAGATTTAATAACAATTAATTATTAATTATTTAATTATAACTTGACCAAGTAATATTATTAAATATAAATTAATCGTTACATCAAGAGAACACAAAATTGTGATAGTTTTTAATAAAATATACCACACATGAAATTGAGATTTTATAATATGGTTTAGTAAAATTATTAATCGGTATTCACAGCTCAAGAAAAAAAGCTGACAAATTGGGGAAATTTACTTAGTTAACGAAATCAAATTTAAAAAATAAATAATTTTTAAATGGCTTTATTAGCCAGACTTTTAATTATATATTTTATAGAATAAATATTTTTTTCCAAAAAAGTAACTAGAAATATGTCCAAACAAGTATCGATCGAGTTTCCAAAAGCAGTTTAGATTTCAACAATTTATTCCAGCATCTTATTCCTTACTGCATTCTCAAGCCAGCAACAGAACATTTGTGACTGTGATTGTGATTTGTGACAGTGAAAGATTATCAATATACCCTTAACAGAAAGCTTAATGGAATAATAGTATCTATATAAATACAAACATAAATCGATAAATCTATGATCGGCTAAATGAAAATTAATTATATTGTTGTGCGGAAGGTGGATAAATCCTCAATTGGCATCCAAATATTTCGCGATATGGATCTCATAATTAAGGTCGATGATCACGCAGTTTATCGTTTAAACGAATTTGATTTTATCTCCAACTCAAACTTGTTACGGGTACTATACAAACCAAATTATAATATGTTTTCAGAAATTTGCGAGAGAGACTCAGAAATGAGAAAATCAATCAGATAACTCTTTGTAAATTAAATCTCTGATATCGTACACTCAAATCTCAATAACATAACAACGGGTGTAGGTTTTTGCATTATAAGCAGCCAAACCACTTTAAAATGTTTTTGTTCTTTTTTCTTTGATATTTTATATTTTTTATTGTACATTCATCATTGAATTACTCCATAATTGATCCATCATAATTACACACACATCTTACATGGTTCCAATATTATCAATCCCGTACCTTTGGTTGGTGCAATTTTTCTACATCGACATATATAAATATTATAATTATAATTTGTTTGTTATTAGTTTAACGTGATGTAATTGAAAGTTTAAATGTCTATCCTTTACACTTTGTACGATCAGGGTTAGTAAAAAAAAAAAAAAAAATGATGAATTATTGATTATAAATATACAATTACCAACTAGTGTAATTGTGGGTTACTGATCAAATAGATGGGGTTCAAAGATTATTTCTTTTTAAATATATATGACTTAACAATATTTTTTAAGATGGTTTTAATTTTATATAAGAATACAGCATATCATAATAATCTTAATAAATAACTTTTTTTCTTACTTCTCAAATCTGTTTTGGTAATCTCTTCTCTTGTTTCTATTACTCTTTTATTATATTTTTCTTAATTCTTAAATTAAAAAAAATATTTTTTTTTTTCTCTTAATAATGTTATAATAAAATTATTTTATCTTGTGGTATATTCATTTCTTTATATCAATATGACGATAATTCTTTCTTATGTATATATAACCCTCTCAAAAATTATTTTCTAGTTTTGTCCATGAAAAAAATCTAATGATTGTAGATGCAAAAATCTACTGTTACGGAAAGAGGGACTAATCCCGTGAGGTTGAGGCCACTAGCGATCTACTGCACCTACACACGTAAGAAAACAAGCGTGAAGCAGACGGAAAACACCAGGGTGGTGTTTACCGTAGGCGTTCCGACGGTCAAGTCAGCAAAACTGAGTGAGACTGGTTTAGTGAGGGTGAGGGAGAAGAAATGTTACTGGAAGTCGAGTCGGGGACTATGACTACGACTGTAATGCGAAGTTCTCCAGAGTGGGGACTTCAGGTCTTGAAGGTGTAAATGTCTCTCCTTGTGAGAGGGCTGACCTCTGCTTAAATAGCGACTACATGTTCTTCGAATCCTGGTAGGACTGGGAGTCTTTGCAACGGTGGTCTCCCCAAAGAGTGGAGCCTTTGGCTCCCTTATATCAGTAGGAAAATGAGTCACAATATGCCTAGGATACGAACCTTAGACGAATTGGGATAGCAATTGACTTATTTAGCAGAGTTTAGGTAGTACTATCGTTCGTAGGCAACTGTGGGTTCTAAGTTGGTCTTAAGTCCAAAAGGTATTCTAGGATCAGAAGGCCTGGATCCAGATGGTGAGGACTAGGGAAGAGCGCCAAACGGGCCTCATTTGCAGAACTTCGAGTTGGGCCCCATCGGAATTGGGCCCAAGCTTTTCAAC